TTCAAATTCCACCATTTAAAATCGTGATTTTTGGGGATGGTTTATGAACTCGGTTTTGCCACAATATTCCATTTATCCATTGACTATCAGAAGAATGTTCCAACAAGTATACACAATTGTGCATTTATTATTTTTAAATGATGCATGAACTATAAGATGGGAGAATATATATATATATGTATATACACACACAGCGTATGTCCACCATCCAACTATAGATATACCCTCTGGTAAACTAACATAGCTATGGAACATTATTATTTTCACAAGGTAAATCAACTATTTCCAATGGCCATGTTCAATAGCAAACTGTAACAGTCATTACTAGAGGGTACCCATTGAGGCTATGCCTTGCTGGTGATTTTCCAAGCTGCTGCTCTCGTCTGGAAGCCCCAAAGGTGGTGCCCCATACCTTAGGTAGCCAAAAGGTAAACGTTGACATAGCGAACTGGAAAATTACCCTCTGGTAATGACTGTTACATAGCTATTGAAAATGGTGATTTATAGTGGATTTACCCATTGAACGTGGTGATTTTCCATAGTTATGTGGCTGTTTACCAGAGGGTATTCAATTTGTGCAAATGGTTTACCATGGTTTACCTACTAACGTTGGAGATTTGTACACTAGCTATGTTAGTTTACAAGAGGGCAATCCCAACAGCGAATCGGGTTTCAATCTCCGGGGACCGGTGACCCGAAAATGGCCCCGAAAAACCGGGATAGTCCTGGAACCTTGCTGGAACCTTTCGCTGTTGCGTTGCAAAGCTGGGCTAATTTTGGTTTATAACTACCCTCCGGAAATCAAACTTGGCTGGGAAATTCCTGTGGCCTGAATGGAGGTTTATAGATTTTGTAGCTGGGACACTGGGACACTCATCGAAGTAAATCGTGGAATTTCCAGAACCCTTGTTTGCCGGAGGGTATCATCGGCTGACTAGATCATGGTCGGCGATGTCTACCTGGTTGGTGGTTTGGAACATGAATGCAATTTTTCCCATCATATTAGGAAGTTCATCATCCCAATTGACTGACTCATATTTTTCAGAGGGGTAGGGCTCAACCGCCAACCAGCTACAGTCAGGATTGATAAATGATGATTGATAAAGGCTATAACTTGGGGGTCACCACTTGGATGATCAGGATTTGGACAGGCGCAAGCGGAAAAAACCACTAGGTGAACCATAGCCACCCTTGGGTGGTTTTTTTTGGGTCAATCACTGCGTATTTACCCCGTTTTCCCCCGTGTGGGGTGTTGGGAGCAGCCCTGAATGATGGGAAATATCAACCCTAGTGTTTCTTTTTTCCATGGCATCGACGATTAGCCATGAACTGTTTTGGGATGATGAATGATTAGTGTACCTTTTGATAATCTAAAACCAAGCCAACAACAACTCAAAAGAGTCGATGCTTTTGCCATCAGGAAGAATGGATTTCTCCAGCGCCAAGTTTCATCACCGGAATGTCACCTTGGTCATCCAATCCCATTGAGTCACTGAGTCATCAAATATTCAATGGCCATTTCAGAAACCGATTTATTGGAGGTACCTACCATATATAAAGCCATATGTTGTGGGGACATTCCCTGAAATTTTTCCCTAAGCCACAGGCCAAAAAAATGTAGGCACCTCCAATAATTCGGTTCCATGTTCCTGAAATGGTCATAGATGGTAACTAGCTCCAATTTAGGTAACCTGAAATGTGGTCAATAATCTGGTAAGCAACTAAAATAGTTACAAGGTGGGGCCCCCAAACATGATGTTTGTTGGTTTAAAATCAGCCCATTATAGTTATATCATGTTATATCTACTATATACATCTGTATAACATCATGAACATGATATATACTATAGTATTATCTAATTATACATCTGTTATATCTACTATCACATGTCATATCATGTTATAACATACCACTTCGTGAATTGTTCGTGCCCTCACGAACGCACGCCACGCACTGCTTCGCCAATGGCAAGTGCCATCACTGGGGGAAGCCCACGGGGATGATGGTAGGTTTTTTTTTCGGGATGGAGCCGAGAATGCCAAAAAACCTAGAAACAAGTGGTTATTACCCTCTGGTACCCTCTGGTAAACTAACATAGCTATGGAAAATCACCATTTTTCATGGGAAAATCCACTATAAATAGCCATTTTCAATAGCTATGTTAAATTACCCTCTGGTAAATTATCAGTTTGACCCTGAAAATCACCTATTTTTAGTGGTTTCACTAATCTTTCAACCCCGATGACTGGCAGGGTCTATGTTAATTTACTGGAGGGTAATATTCATAGTGGTTATCATGGTTAATCATTGTTAATCATATCTTCAGTGTCTAGCTTATTAACGATCACTATCATTATTTATCATTATTAATCCTGTCAATATACTCCAGATACTAGCATAGATATTGATAATATGTAAATATATAATGGATATTGTATAATGACAATATATATATATATAGCGAGAGATACTGTATAATCATTTAATAACCACCATTTATGTAAACATTGTGGTATCATGCCATTGGCTTCATACTATTTACAGTACATTATTTAACGGTTTTCTGTGGTTGTAGTATAAAACAAAATCATGCTTGGGATATCTTACTATATGGCATTATTAATACGATTGTGCAAATATTGTGGTTGTTAATAGTGTTATTACAACAATCTATAATCACACTTACTCCCGGTGGGTGTAATGGCCATTAGTGTTGCCAAAAAATATCAACATATCCATCAAAATTAGCGTAATTTTAGAGTTATTATATAAATAACCATAATATTCATAATATACTCAGACATTAGTTGGTTTATAAACCCGATGAACTATTAATAATAGATATATTTTCCATAAACCGTAGTTATTGGACTTATGGTATGATACAATGTGGGACCACCAAGATAGCTACGTTGGTGAACAATTCACTCCAATGGTTTTTGATACATATAGCTATAGTATTCATGGGGTTTATAAACCAACAAAAATAACGTTTTGGGGGCCCCACATTGTAATGGATCTTATGGTTGGTTGTGGTTGTTAATGTTATTACTAAGTTATTACTATCATCGTTGTCATTATTCATTATTCATGGATATTGACGGTATTTAATATTTAAACGTATTCAATTTCCTTTGTTGAAATGCCAAACAGCTATATCACTGGCCATTTCAGGGTGCCGATTTATTTATGAGTACATCATTTGTTATTACTATCAGGTATTGATATCATTGTCATATATATATATATATATACATAAATACTTTCTGGATTAATATCAGGTATATATGTATATCTTATGGATTTGGGGTCTATCCCCTTCTGGAAGTAATAACTATAGTTAATGGGGTTTAGTTACTGGGGGGGTTCCTCATTGTATCAATACCAACAAACATAGCGTTTGGGGGCCCCACATTTATAGAGGATATGGATATTGGATAAACCCTATGAATACTATAGTTATCAGTATCATCATGCATGGCTATCATCTATAGCTATCATTATCATTTATAAATTACTATTTTCGTAGGTAGTTATCATTTGTACTGTAAAGGGTCCATTTTCCATAGCAAACTGATAGTTGGCAGTTAGCTATTGCCCATATGCACCATGGTGCTGGAATATGTACCAACATTTGCCCGAACAAACTCACCCAGTTTTGTAGATGTTTATATGCCAGCACCATGGCTGAGCTAATCTGGGTCACATAGTGGGCTGTTATAACCCCCAAAAGTTATAGTAGTTAGAACTATAGTACTAATTCCTATAACCCATAGGATCCATGTATGCTGCTATATATGGTAACATGGATCCCATCAATATACCCCCTTTATGTTAGCATTTTTCTACCAGCACCATGGATCCGTCATGGGTAGTTACCATAAAAACTCTTCTGAGTCGAGGCGGTGGCCGTCTTGGACATCTCGGGCTTGAGGCGCAGGGCTTTGCTGGCTGTCCAGGCCGGGCTGGCTGGCGGTGGATTTTTTGCACAACGAAACGGGCCAGGGGATTTACCCTCTGGTTATGACTAACATAGCCATGGTATAGATGGCCCTAATCGAAATAGATCGTTTACCTATTAATAGCATGGTGATTTTCCATGGCGAACTGTTAAATAACCAGATGGTAACAACGAAAAACTGGGATTAACATGCTTAAACAATCAGAATTTATGGGAATATACTATCACCATCTAATTAATCTATTATAATTGTTGGATCGCCAAACAGCAACACTTTTTGCAGAGCTACGGCTATGCATGGCTACGAATCCAGCCCGCGGAGAGAATTTTGGGCCGAATTTCCGGGTGGATTTGTCCACAATCCCCCGTACACCAGCACAACCCCGCAATTGTTGCTTAATACATGTTGATTGTATTACATGCATAGTTTCACAACCATCAAGAACAACGGTTTTGGGCACTGGGACATTGCTTATTCGGGGTGGTATTTGACTAGACAATGGAGAACGGGCCTACTGAAGGTGACGTACCAATATCATCGCTAGTTCTGACTATCAGTTGGGGATACCCAAAGGTGAATACGGATGATAATAGCAAGTACCATCAGCAAGTCAAGGAAAGAAGACCAAGGAAGACCCAGGAAACAGTTTTCAAAGCAACGGCTGAAGTTTTGCAGAAATCGATGCACCAAACCGGTTTTGTGATTGTTTTGCCACCCAACAATGGCATTTTTGTGTGTCGTATGCTGAGGTCCACGAATAGTGCGGCTGTCAAAGTAGCCGCGAAGCCATTTTGGCTTCTCAGGTACAGTGAAAAATAGACTTCAGGTGAAATGATAGTTTATGTTTTCTTTAACACAAGTCTATAGTGGCTAGTAGCCGACAGTGCAGATACAATCAGTGACTGCAGTGGAACATAGTGGAACAGACGTTTGCGCAACGTTCATCATGTCATATCATGAATCAGGGTGAATTTCTGTAGGAAAACCAAGAGTGAACTGTCAGCGTGCCCCATTTTTGGGATATATATGTTTTTTTCATGTGTAGCTTAAGGCAAGACAGCCTTGAACCAAGAGCCGGGATGGTGTGTAAGCATGGCTGCAAGTGCTTTGCCTGTGGTCGCCGTGGAGGGAAACAGGCTGAAACATGGCGGAGGTCCACTTTGAATACTGAGATATGCTGAGTATATCCGAATTGTGGATTCTATTCATATTGAATACTGTATATGACAATACACTTCTCTTCCCGGAGATATGGAAACTGTGGAAATATGGCCAAATCATCACAAATAGATTGGCAAAACCTAGGTGCCTTTGTTTTTAAATTGATTTGATAATATTGATTTGATAATATATATAATATATATACCCATGAGAGAGAGAGAGAGAGTCTTCATGGATGTTCAAAACCCAAGCCCCCGCGGCGTCAACTGATCCATCAATCGATGGTCCGGTGCCATGGTGCTTTGAGTTCACTGGTGAATTTCCAACACGCAAATCGTTAAATAAATGGAGAGGCCAATCCCAGGTGGTAAATGATCCCATGATGCAATATCCTATTAACATGCGAAATGATTTATATATTCCTGTTATTTCCTGTTCTTATTCTCCATCTCGTTTTTGTCCACGTGCTTTAAGTCCCTGCGTGCTGTGCCGCAGCTTCCTTTGATCAAAATGTCTCGCCGTTTCATCCTCTGTGTCTATGTAGGTCTTTTGGCTCGTTGTGAAGCAACGAGTCCTGCGACTTCTACTGTCACGACTCAGCAGTTTCACCAAGCTAGACCTGGTCTCAACAGCCCTCTACGTCTATGGCTCCTATGTTCGGTTTGCTGACTGGTTCCGAGTTTCCCTCAAGAAACAACCGGCCCGGTAGAAGATCCGCTGTCGGCATCAAGATGTGCCAGCCAAACCGGCAGTGTCAAGTGCGAAGCCGATAGGTCTGTCTGCAGGCTCGATTCAAATATATGGTCCTGGTACGGGGGGCAAAAAATATACTATTGCTACTATGATGCAGTCTTCACGAGATTCCAGCTTTGCAGCTTTCATGAGACTTCAAGGGAATGCCAATGTACTTCATGGGTTTCAAGGACAGAACAGCGCCAAGCATGCCCTTCTTGCAGCGACCTCTCGTTAGATTGCGAAAATATGCTTGACCAAGGATTCGCCACAGGGCAGTCAATCCCAATGACTACCCAGTGGACAGAGAGGATTCAAACCAGTTACGAGGCAATCGAGCTTTGGATCGCTGCAAGCATTTCTTTTGCAGCCACAGTGGTTTGGATGGCACGGTGGCACTTTCGCAGTGTGAGCCTTCGAGCGCAGATTCTGATTGCCTTGGGATTTGGCGGTGTTTTGCTCGTGGCTCTTGCGGTCCTGGTATTCTCCACTCTTTTGATCGGCAGCAATGCCATTCTAGGTGTTCTCTTGATCTTCTGGATATCAGTGGCATGGGTCGTGCTTTTATGGCGTGGCTGTATGCAGGCAGGAGCATCAGAGGAGCGCAGATCAGCAATGCTCCAAGTCCCTCTCTTCGGTGTTTGGGTGATTTCAAAACTGACTCCTGAGAAGTTCAAGACTCACCAGGAAAAGTTCTGGGCATACAAAGTCGGCTTGCGCTTTCTGGAAGACATCCCTCAGGCAATAGTTGCAGGCATTGATCTATGCCTTTGCGATGGTAGCTATTTTGCTGTCCTGGATTTATCTCTCTCAGTGCTCAGCATCCTTGCTTTCTTTTCATCAGAACCGTCCTGGAGGCTCATCAAGCACATGTCGGCACTCTCCGTGGCAAACTTCGTTGCATGCGTTGTGGCATGCCGTGGCTGCGTAGTGAGCTGCATCAAGAGCTTAGACGCTTGCGTTGAGGATGTTGCGGGACGAGATGAGGAAGCTGCAAAAGAAGAGGAGGCTGCAGAAGGGGAAGCTACAGTGGAGGGCAAGGTCTTGGAAGAGGAAGTCATGACCAGCTTCACAAACCCCCTGTACATCAACCCGTGGGAAGTAGACTCAGTCGAGTGAAACCATCCAAAGTTGTCACAGTGTCACACGATGTCTAGGGACGGCCGTTGCCGTTCTTATTCAATGATTTCAATGTTCTTTTTGTGGTTCAATATGACACAAACAACACATTAAGAGCGCTGGTGGTGAATAGCACCCGGTGTGAACAGCATTGAACCGGAGAAAAAAGGCACGCTTCCAAGAAGTGCTTCTGACAAGGGCTTGTGGCAGCGCTTGGTTTGATCGAAGGTCAGGCGGGAAATTATATACATTTGCTCGGACATCGGGCTCCAAACGCATCAAGCACCATCGGCTCACAAGGTATTGTAATAATGCTTTGGGATTTTTGTTGATGCAACCTTGCAACTTTTGATTAGTCTGTTGGAGGTGTTTTAATGTGGGAAAACCCTTCAGGCTAAGTCTATGTTTTGGCAGGTAGAAACCCTCCTTAAAACACCACATGCGAAATCCCCAAAACCATCCATTTGAACATGCTAAAATCCAATGTTCTCCCACGCAATTTGTACCTAAGAACAAATCATGTTTTTCCTTGTCATGAACAAAAAACATTTTGCTTCCTCAGTAAGCAACACTTTTGCAGAAGACTTCGCTTGTTCCTTTCAACATGTGGGGGAGGATCAAAACCTATTATCATTATCTGGTTGGTGGTTTCAACCATTTTTTATTATCCATCATATATGGGATAATCCTTCCCATTGACTCTCATATTTTTCAACATGGTTGAAACCACCAACCAGTTATTGTTATTATTATCAATGTTACTGGCATGAATATCCATAAATCCCAGCTATTTAGGGGTTGGGCGCCAGGGCTTTGACTCATAATATAATGACATCGATAATGGTGTTTTAATACTTGGGGTAATGTTGTTGTATGTTTAACTATAATGGCATTAGTATTTGGGATATTATAACATGGGCAATCTGGAAAAATGAATGAACCATATCCATGTTAGAATATCTCAGATATTAACAATGTTATATGATAATATGTAAGACTGTAAGATATTAACTAATACAAGCAACTATCCAATAATTGGGGATATTATCCATACATATATATATATATATTAATGTTATCCTGTTTGGGATATTTGGGATATTACTACATAGATAATTTGAATCATAGATGTCCTTGTCCCATTGGTTGATGAAAATAGAGGGATTTGAAGAAAACCCTTTAACAACAGGTGATGATAGATGGGATTAACCAGCTCCCGGCCCCTCTATTTTTTTACCAAAAGGACGCTATTGATATCTCAAATATTAACCATGTTATATGATAATATTTGGGATATGAAATTGTAAAAAACTATCCAATCATTGGGGATATATGGATAATTTGAATGAATATTAATGTCTCCATTTCCATCCATTTCCAGGCCAAAGCCGGGGCCCTGCATCAGCTGAGCCTTTGGGCCTCCGAGCACCGCTCCGTGGGACGCCTGGGGCGCTACGCGCAGCAGCTCGCCGCGGAAGCCGCGGAGACGCCGCGACCGGCGAAGAGGCGAAGAACGAAGGCCTTGGAGGCCGTGGAGGTTTGGGGCGATGGAAAAAATGGTGGTTGTGGTGAAAAAAACTATAAATGGGCCATTTTTAATAGGTAAAACCTATAGAACATCACCATTTTTAATAGGTAAACCATCTGTTTCTATGGGCCATTTTCCAGTTCGCTATGTTAGTTTACCAGAGGCTATGAAGACATAGGGAAAACATCATGGACATTGAATTCAAAGTGGTGTAAAGCCATGATGAGCTGTGGTTTTTTAAGCCATGAAAACATCTTCGGAGCATGGGGGTGAAATTCAGAAGACTGGTGTAAAAATGATGTTTGTTGGTGAACAGTTCACTAGGATAACTGGTAGGTTGATGAACGGGAGATAGATCGAATTATAGTTATATAGATGGGGTATGATTGGGTTATAGTTTTTAACCACAAAACTATGTGAGTCAATCGGTGATTGAACCCATCAAAAACGTTTTGAGGGAAATGCAGTTTTAATTCAGAGAAAAATGGTAATAATATTGGTGTTGTTGACCAGCTGGTAACTGGGGGGCCCCACTATGTATCAATCAGTGCAACCAGAAAGGGTAATAACCATCACAAGCTGGCATATGGGACTATGATTCTATCTTATTATAAACTCATGCACCATGTATAATTATGGGATATGATGGGGTTTTGATTGGGACATCATGTATAAATGGAAGATATATTATGGTCAAATGAAACATATCACCAGTTTCACGGGATATATATAATGGGATTGGATGGGGTATACATGTTACCCGCCAGTAATCAAACAATGGGAAAGTCCCTGAACTACATGCAGGTTTATAGTTGCTATCCAAAGCTGAAGAAACAGGGAAAAATGCTCTTGCCTTTGGAAGATGGGGCCTAATAGGGATACAAGGGCAAGGATTTTGGGGTTTGGTGAATATTGTTCTCACCAATGAAAACAAAAGGCAAACAACAGCACAACTGTGCACAATAAAGTCCTATTGAGCTTCTGGCTTTGACGGCTTTCTTGCACCAAATCTCAGCGCAAGAGGACTTGCATCCAGGGCCGTCGGAGAAGCCGGTCGAGGTGGTTTGCTCGTTTTGGGTGAATTTCATTGGAAGGATTGGGTACTTAGGGCCATAGACGAGTTGGTCTAGTAAGCAGATGGATATGGATTTTCATTTGGATTTTGGGTGGTATATAACCCAGTTTCTAACCAGGAATCGCTCACTTTTTCCCAAGGCCCATGACCCACTGGGTAAATTGATGCGGTAAACTTACCAGCAATATTTGGCTGTTGACCCCAAACAGATCAAGCTCAAGGTGAATGGCATGCTTTGCTTTGCTGCGCCATGCTTCTGAAATACTGAATACATTTACGACACCAAGCAGTGTTTTTGTTTCCATACTTGCAGAGTTGTTGGGGATGCAATAATGATTTGGGATATTTTTAGTAAGCAGCAATGATTGATGGTTTTCACCAAGAGAGGACTTTGATGTTTGGATCATAAACTTTGGTGATTAACCGCGAGTCCTACGTTCGGGATGGGTTGAAGTTACCAAATCAATGTCAGAAGTAAACATGAATACTGGTTGGTGGTTTGGAACATGACTTTTATGACTTTCCATTCAGTTGGGAATTTCATCATCCCAACTGACTGACTCATATTTTTCAGAGGGGTAGGGCCCAACCACCAACCAAATAATTATATTGGCAGATCTTGGCATCCAAACTGCTGCTTTCAGACACCTGGAGTCAACATCAGCTGAATCTGATAGCTTGGTAGGTGTCCGATGGTGTCCCAAAGCCCCACATGGAACAAATCCATCGAGATTGAACTGGGGATACCCTCTGGTAAACATACAAAAAGCTATTGAAAATGGCCATTTATAGTGGATTTTCCCATTAAAAATGGTGATTTTCCATAGGTATGTTAGTTTACCAGAGGGTAATTCACTGTCTATCTTTTTTGATGAGTATTAATCAATAGCATTCCAGAGAATCCCACTTCGATTTGGATCATCTCGCTGTAGAGGTGATCATCAAAGTTTTCGGAACTTCCCTGCGGGCCTAACAGCAACTTTGGAGCCCAGTTACCCTCTGGTAAACATGCAAAAAGCTATTGAACATGGCCATAGAAATAGTGGATTTACCCATGGAACATGGTGATTTTCCATGGTTTTCTGTAAACGTTTACCGGCTGGTTGATGGTTGTTGATCACTAGCTACTTGAGATCAATGTCACGGTGAGAACATGGCTTGATCATTCAGGATTTTCATAGGTGGCCAGAGAACTTATGAAGTAGACACATGTAGAAAAGATTCTAGTTTGAGAGTATTGTGCTTGTGTTCTCTTCTAGTAGCAATGATGTTTGGATTTACATATATTTGTAGTATATTTATAATTACATAGAAATATATTTAGGGTATATTGAAACCTTCTAGCTATGAGTCAAATTTTGGTACACAAAGTGCTGCTGAACCTTGAAAAAGGTAACCAGCTATTGTGGACCCGGTTGCCTGAAATATTCAAATCGATGTAAGGATAATCAGAACTTCCAGCTCCGATGGACTTGCTTCTGAGGGGAAACCCAATCCTCCCAACCAGCCAAGGGGGTGGGGCAGTTTTTCCGTCAGGAGAGTAGCAGCCAGGGACTTGCCAAAGTGCTCCCATGGTTGGTCTGAGACTCAAGACTTCACATGAATTTTCTTGGAATACCCTCTGGTAAACTAACATACCTATGGAAAATCACAATTTTTAATGGGAAAATCCACTATAAATGGGCATTTTCAATAGCTATGTTAAATTACCAGAGGGTAACGCTGATGTTGATGATGTCGATGGCACTTTCTAATGAGCGCTTTCTGATTTTGTAAAGGTGGAAAATCCTCAACTTTGTTTATTCACCAAAATGACTACAGTATAGATTGCACACGGATGTTCATCCCCAAAGTTGCTTTACAATGCCCATGAATACGATAGATACATCTACCATAAAACATATATTTACATATGTATATAATATATATATATATGGTAAGATTCATCCATGAACTATAGATATATTATGATATATTACCATAAACCATGTTTTTTTGCGCAAATGAATGGTCCTTTGTTTCTTTCTTTGGACAATCTATGGGTTCCATGGGTTCCATCTCCCCCCCATGGCGGAAGTGGCACCACTCAGGACGCCCAGTGGAGTCCAAATGCCTTCGCAACCTTGGCAACTCTGAGCAGGAAGGGATAAGCCGCAGAAATTGTTAGCTTAAGCATCCAGAGTAGACTATGAATGTGGGTAATTCCCAATGCCATAAAGTTTATGGTAGATATATATAGTTCATGGATGTTCATGGCTTATAAACTGACTTATAATGATGTGGGATATAATGGAGTAATGTGGGTAAAACAATGCCATAAGCCACCCAAACATGGGAATGGTTAGTTATACCACCTATAAACATGGTGATGACTGGGGGATGGTTTATGACATTGTTTTACTCACATTACTTGAGATTTATATAGATTTATTTGTTGCTTATTGATTTGTTGACTTAGTTGTTTTCTAGGGTTCATATTTGACCATGTTCATAGAAATTCATGTCCTTTCCCACTCAGAAATAGTCTTTTTAGTCCTTTTTTCTTTCGGGAGATATTAAGGGTTGACCACTTATGGAAATGTTTTTGTTCTTGGTAGACATGTTCAGCAGGATTGGAACTTCTTCGAGTAAGCTTGTGGGATTTTTGATTTTGTCCTCAGCCTTTGGGATGAATCTTGGTACATCTTGGTACCTGAGAAGCCAAGGTTCCTACCATGTGGGATTGCCAGAGTGTAACATTCCATTTTTCAGTATCAGTTCTATACCCTTTCGAAAATTTGGTGGTAGTTCTTCAATTTATCATATTATATCATGTATATATGTATAATATAATAATATATATATACATTATATATATATATATTATTCCCTAATTCTTGTTATATAGTTTGATTTCCATCCCTCAGTGTGATCCTGTGTTCCTATTTTGCAGGAGCTTTTTGAAAGACTTCGCGCTGGAAGTGATGCAGCAAAACCGTCACAAGGTGACAGTCCCCTTCAGTTATGGCTCTTTAGTAAGTGGCTTAATTCACCCAAGTGATTTACATGGGAAAATCTATGGACAATTCATGGGAAATATGGGAAAATCCACTTATAACTGGAGTGAACTAAACCACTTGGATGAGCAGTTATCTTATTGGGTTCTTTTGATGCGATTCTCATGAGCCATAAACGGTGTGACTTGCTGACTTACAACTCTATTAATCAGTAAAAAAACAACCCCAACATACAAAAGAAATTATTATGGTCACGCAAGGCTGGCTAGTTATCATAGCTTTCTCTTCCAAAAAAGGTCTGTATATACTATGTTTCAAAATAAAATAAACAACAAAGCCAACATACATGTGAATATCATTGATACATGATGGTTGGTTGATGGCTTGAAACCACCACCAAAAAGATGAACAAAGGAAGTGTTCCAACCCTAAAAGAATAGTATTTTATTACATTTGCATTTTTTTGGGGGCTACCACAATTGTTATACATGTATATATTTATGTATGTATATATATATATATATGGGAACCATTATACTTGCTAAATGTTGGGGAGAAAGGTTGGGAATTGTGTAGGACAGAAGAAATCCTATGATTTCAATCGCCAGGTACCGACACACCACTGGCTGACAAAACCGCAGGAACACGAGAGGATGATACATAGGGGCCCCCTTGGATAGCAAAGTTGGTGTAGAACTTCACCTACAGAATGATTGAGATATATCCTGCATGAAGCGAACATTAAAATCAATTTAGCTATCGAACGGGGACCCCACATTGTAATATCATTGCCCATCATTGTCCACGTTTAGTTGGTTGGTTACGGAAACCCAGCCTCAGTTGCTCAGCTCTGATATCTGTTGCTTCAGCCGCAAGATATCTCTGGCACGACTGGCTATGGCTCAAAAATCTGTATCATATAGTACCAATGGACACAGCAAGTTGAGTATACTTAGCAATTCATGCTTTCAATGTTTCATGTTGCTTTTATGTTTGACCCATCCCCATATCGCCAATCAATCAATTAGATTAGATGTCTGAGGCATTTCCAACTCACAATCACTAAAGGGGTCATGGGAAAAAAGCGGTTCCTGTTTAGTAACTGGGCACTACATCTCAATCATAGTCCATTTACTAGTGAGTAACTGGCTTATAAACCATCAAAACATCCCAGTTTTATAATCCATTTACCATTTATATATATATATATGACTTGTAATTATAATCAATTTCTTAGTTAGTAACTGGCTTATAAACCATCAAAACATCTCAGTTTTATAATCCATTTACTATATATATATATATGTATATATATACATATGACTTGTAATTATAGTCCATTTCTTAGTTAGTAACTGGCTTATAAACCATGTTTATACATATATATATATATATACATGGCTTGTAATTATAGTCCATTTATTAGTGAGTAACTGGCTTATAAACCATAAAAACTCCCAATTTTATAGATTCTTGTAATTATAGCCCATTTTTTAGTGAGTAACTGGCTTATAAAGCACGAAACATCCCAGTTATATAATCCATTTCCTATATATATATATATACACATATACATATGACTTGTAATATGACTTGTAATTATAGTCCATTTATTAGTTGGTAACTGGCTTAAAAACCATCAAAACATTCCAGTTTTATAATCCATTTACTATATATACATATATACACATATGACTTGTAATTATAGTCCATTTATTCGTGAGTAACTGGCTTATAAACCATCAAAACATCCCATTTTTAGAATCCATTTACTATATATACATATATATATATATATATATATGTGACTTGTGATTATAGTCCATTTATTCGTGAGTAACTGGCTTATAAACCATCAAAACTCCCAATTTTATAGATTCTTGTAATTATATTCAATTTATTAGTGAGTAGCTGGCTTATAGAGCACGAAACATCCCAGTTTTATAATCCATTTACCATATATATACATATATATATATATATGACTTGTAATTATTATCCATTTATTAGTTAGTAATGATAATTGGCTTATAAACCATCAAAACATCTCAGTTTTATAATCCATGTACTATATGCGTATGCCAGATGCGAACCATGGTGCTGGAAAAGTTACCTTCAAAACTGGGGTTTTTGGGTAGGTAAATGTTCCAGCACCATGCTTCGCATCTGGGTATAGTGAACCAACAAACCATGGCCAAAACCATCCCGAGGCCTTGCAAGTGCGCCTGGCCCTGTTGGAGCAAGATGTGCCTCCCCCAAACGGCCCGGCACAACGTGCGCTGGAGGCGAGAGATCTAGTGACTTAGCGACCTCAGTTAGTTTATCCTATTTATAACCATAATTATTACGATGGATATATTGTAGTGTTATAAATTTTATATTAATTGATGGTGAACAGGGATAAATCTAGAGGTTTCCTAAAATGGTCGGTACCCCACTAGCTGGATGATTTATAATGGTTAATAATAATAATAATTGATGGTTATATAATAAGGACAAATGTGCCAAAATGATTATTGAATGGCCAGAATATCCAGGTTAGTGAATTATCATATTTGCCCAGAAAGATCAATAGGAAGAGCATCTATGAATGGTGATATAATATAATATCATTTGAAAGTAACTGGATGTAAGCTCATGATATTTATCAATGATATTTAACTAGATATTCATCATCCATGATCAAGTGGAAAATCATCATGTAATCATATTTATTTTTGTAGGAACTCCCAAAATGATGAGGAATAGTTGGAAACCTGAACATATGAACTATCGTTTTGGGAGTTGCTATGACGGGGATGTAATATCGCCAAAACCGCATATTTTTTCTGTGTGTCATTTTGTGTGTCTGAAAATGGTGCATTTAACCCACTATTTATCTATAGTATAAAAACGGAGATCTGAGAGGAATTGCTGGGGTATAAAACCAACCATGGTGATTTCCATGGGGGTTTATGACCGTCGGAAAAAACGATGATTGGGTGACTTCAAGTGGTGACCATGTCAATGGATGGAATTGCCATATCTGGTTGGTGGTGACTGGAACCATGGAATTTTATGACTTTCCATTCAGAAAAGGGAATGTCATAATGGTGATTCATGGTGATTCATAGGGAATTCACCAACCAAAATGGAGGTATTAATAGGAAATACCCTCTGGTAATTTTCCATATATATTGGGAATGTCATCATCCCAACTGACGAACTCACTCCATGATTTTTCAGAGGGGTAGGGAAAAACCACCAACCAGAGGGTATCCCATAGAAATCATCATTAAACCCCATTAAATCACCATTAAATCACCATTTTCCTATGGTTTTCGTATGGTTTTCCAATGGTTTTCCATATGTTCAACAGTCTTGAAGTTTACTGTAAGGGTTCTGGATACCCCAAAAGGTCACCGTGGTCACCCGGTCACCCAGAAAGGGATTTCTGAGGGAGCAGAATTTTGGTACCCGGTACCGTAAACTAACATAGCTATTGAATGCTATTGAAAATGGCCATTTATAGTTAATTTTCACATTAAAAATGGTGATTTTCCATAGTTATGTAAACGTTTCCCAGAGGGTATAGTCTTATAACTGAGATTATCTGAAGTGTAAATTGATGTCCAGATGGTTTACCAATGCTGTGATGCGGTGCCACCTGCATCAGATTTTACCACGTTGATTTCGATGTTTCCGCTTTAAGGTAGCCATAGCAATGGAACATCCACCATTTATAGATGAATGTCCCATTAAAGTACCATTGATCGAGGATTTTCAGTTGCCACGTGTGACTACCGGATGGTAACCGGGATACACCCAAGTTACAAAGAATCTTGCTGGTTTAGGGATCGATTGAGCTGAATGGAGGATATGTTCGGGATGAATGGGGTACAGCCGGTACAGCAACGACAAGAAATGGCTATGTAGCGGACAAGCCAAGCTGGCAGATGCTTGGTGAAATGTTCAATTTTGAGCCATGAATGACCTACTGTATCACTACAAAAGGGTCTTTGACTTTCAGGTGTTTCACTACAACAGGAATTACAAGTATATATAGTTTATCTCAGCTTGATGACCAAACTATAGGATGTATATAATTCACAGAAAACTTGTGACTTGGGCTGGAACAGAGTACATATATTACATATAACACAATCTATAAGGTGTGTATATGTAATATAATCTACCAGTAGTACCGCACAAGGCGGTGGCGGAAGTTTCAAAAATAGGAAACCTATAGGAGAGATTGGTTGTTGTGAATCAGGGATGGCAGAGCGAAGCCACTGATGGATCGAAAGACGATTGATCTCTCTCGCTCTTTCTCTGACTGTCTACCTACCTACCTATCTATCTAGCTATGTATCTACCTATCTATCTATCTATCTATCTATCTATCTCTCTCTCTCTCTCTCTCTATCTAGCTATCTACCTCTCCCTCTCTCTCTCTCTTTCATTTGATTACTCTATCTATCTATCTATCTATCTACCTATCCATCTATCTATCTATCGATCTATCTATCTATCTCTCTCTCTCTCTCTTTCATCTGTCTATCTGTCTAGCTGTCTACCTGTCTATCTATTTATCTATCTCTCTCTCTCTCTCTCATCGGTCTATCTGTCTAGCTGTCTAGCTGCCTACCTGTCTATCTATCTATCTATCTATCTATCTATCTGTTTGTCTGTCTGTCTGTCTGTCTACCTATCTATCTATGGTGCACCTAGCTACCTACCTACCAATCTATCTATCTATCTATGTATCTATCTATCTATCTATCTATCGATCTATCTCTCTCTCTCTCTCTTTCATCTGTCTCTCTGTCTAGCTGTCTACCTGTCTATCTGTCTATCTATGTATCTATCTATCTATCTATCTATCTGTTTGTCTGTCTGTCTATCCGTCGACCTGTCTATTTAGGGTGCAATGTCATTCAGTCTAATGTAGTGTAGTGTAGTGTACTGTAGTGTAGTGGAATGTAGTGGAAGGTAGTGTAGTGCAGTGTCATGTAGTGTGTGTAGTGTAACTTAGTGTAGTGTAAATTAGTGTCGGGGAGGGTAACGGAGTGTAGTTGTAGTTGTAGTGTAGTGTAATGTAGTGAAGCGTAGTGGAAGGTAGTGCAGTGTAGTGTAATGCAGCGTAGTGGAGTGTAGTGTAGTGTCATGTAGTGTACTGCAGTGTAATTTAGTGCAGTGGAGTGTAGTGGAGTGTAGTTGTGTAGTTGTAGTGTAGTGTAGCGGGATGTAGTGTAGTGTAATGTCGTGTAGTGGTGCGTAGTGGAGTGTAGTGGAGTGTAGTGAAATGTAGTTGTGTAGTTGTAGTTGTACTGTTGTGGAGTGTAGTGTAGTGTAATGTAGTGAAGTGTAGTGGGAGCAGTGTAATGCACTGTAATGTAGTGTAGTGTAGTGGAGTGTAGTTGTGTAGTTGCAGTTGTAGTTGTAGTCTAGTGGAGGGTAGTGTAGTGTAATGTAGTGAAGTGTAGTGGAAGATGGTGTAATGTAGTGCAGTGGTGTCTATCTATGTACCTGTCTATCTATCTATCAATCTATCTATCGATCTATCTATCTTTCCATCCGAATCCATCCATCTACCGTGTACTGATACGATCCTCATGTTCCTAAATTGAAACTTCAACAGCTCCTACAGCATTAACACAACAGACTCCAAACCCAAAAAAGGCTCAAAACCCTGTAGTTGTAGTTGTTGTGGTTGGTGTTGTTGTTGTTGTTGTTGCTGGTGTTGTTGTTGTTGTTGTTGTTTGCTGTTGCTGTCGTCGTCGAAGTTAGGGTAGTTAAGTTAGTGAAGTTAGTTAAGTTAGTCAATTTAGTTAAGTTAATCAGTGTCTACTTTTTCGACATCTTCACGTCAAAAAAGGCTCAAAACTTTCAGTTTTTTAACTTTTGACTTCGAAATGTGCTTCGCGCCACAACAGCGTGCACTTTTTCGACACTTTTTCGACATCTGAACCTCCAAAAGTGGTCCGAGACCGTCAGTTTTTAACACTTTTGACTTCAAAATGTGCTTCGCGCCACAACGGCGTGCACTTTTTCGACATCTCAACTTCCAAAAGTGGTCCGGACCTGGTGTGTTTTGTACATTTTGACTTGGAAATGTGCTTCGCGCCACAACGGCGTGCACTTTTTCGACATCTCAACTTCCAAAAGTGGTCCGAACCTGGTGTGTTTTGTACATTTTGACTTCGAAATGTGCTTCGCGCCACAACGGCGTGCACTTTTTCGACATCTCAACTTCCAAAAGTGGTCCGACCTGGTGTGTTTTGTACATTTTGACTTCAAAATGTGCTTCGCGCCACAACGGCGTGCAAATTTTCATCTCTCATCTGGCCAGCTGGCTCCGCACCCGCCGCTTTAGCGAGCCTACTTTTCGACCCTCCAGAGCCCCAAATCATTGGAAAAACACAGTGTTTCGCGACTTTCCTACCTTTTCGCGCATCTGCATCTTCTGTCTTCTGACTCTTTCTCTTCTGATCTTCTCTCTTCTAATCTTTCTCTTTTCTCTGCCTCTTCCCTGCTCTGCCTTTCATCTGTCCATATTGTCGGAAGTTTGACTTCTAAACTTCCTTCGATCAGGTATATATTGTATATAAACTATGAGGTGTATATATATATATATTTACACATCGCCAAACTATACGGTATATAAAGGACATCACTGCGCTAGGCCACGCTGCGTTGTTGGTCGCACTTTCGTCAGAACCTGAAATTCTGTTCATCGACAGGCACGGCCGGGGGATATGGGGATGTGAGCTGAAAACTGACCAGCTCAATATATATATATATGTATATGTGATATATATATATATGAAATATATATATATGTAATATATATATATATATGATATATATATATATATTATTATATATATACACAATTATTTATATATACATATATATATATATGTATTTTAGATGCCCTGGTCAGTTTTCTGCGTTTTTTTCAGGATAAAGGGGCCAACTCCCAAGTTTCAGGATATTTTCCAGGTTTCAATATCCCATGTGCTCGATGTATGGTATATTTACCTCCAATTGGGTGATATTTTTCTGTCAAATGTTGGTAAATATTCCATACATGGAGCATATGGGTATGTTTCAATCTAAATCCAGTGATCGGTACCTGTTGCATCTGGAGGTTTCCGTTTTGTCATGGCGGTACCCCCACGTCACCATAGGTGTACCATAAGTTTCAATACTAAGTCATGATCATCCATGACCACTGGAGGATATCTATATGGATATTGGTTAAAGCCCCTGAATACATTCATGAATGCTATAGCTATCAGTATCATAAACCATGGTTATTGTAGTTCCCCTCTGGTAAACATACAAAAAAACAATGTAAAATCACTATTTTAATTATAGGTAAATCAACTATAAATGTGCAATTTTCAACAGCTATGTTAATGTTAGTTTACCAGCGGATATAAGCCATGTTTTTTTTCGCACGACTTCGCCGCATCTCAACGTGAGGAGTTGAAGACTTTGAGAAAGCCGTCAGCGATCTTGATCATCGAAGGCAGAGGCTTGGTGACACGTTTGGAGGTTTGCCTCGGGATGCTCCAAAATGAGTTTTTTTTAGGTAAAAGTGATGAGAAGCCATGATAAAGCATGGGATCGTTAGGGGATTCTAAGGTTTCAGAGAACATGAGACAACCCTTTTGTGCCTTTTGGATCCTTTTAGGTATTTTTCCCTTTGAGTCTGGAAGGTAGCAATCATACATATCTGGTTGGTGGTTTGGAACATGAATTTTATTTTTCCATATATTGGGATAATAATCCCAACTGACTAATATTTTTCAGAGGGGTTGAAACCACCAACCAGATAATCATACAATTTGCTTTTTGTCCCAAAATTATCCAACATCTGTGAACGAATCGGAAGATTTTCTGACCTGGTCGTCCAAGCCTACAGTTATGGCCCAACTAACAGTGGTTTTCATGGAAATATACCTCCTATAACTCAGGTTATATATATATATATCATTATAAACCCATCAATATAACTGTTGGTTGGGCCACAGCTGTAGTTAACTAATTCTTGGCTAATTCCAAACAACCAATGGCCAGGCTCAAGGCGATGCTCGAAGGTTCCTGAGAGCAGCGGCTGATCGGAGGAATTCTTTTTCGGCCTAACGGGGAAGACACGTTGATCGTGTTGGCGTGGCAAAACCTGGATATTTAGTAAGGGTGTCAATGATTGTCAGTGAAAAAAAAACCACCGATGTTTTTGATGGGTTTTATGGTTCCTATTCATCAATGTGTGGGTATTATCAGTCTTTAAGTTTATTTGAGACCAAATAACAGGCCCCCTACAATGTGTTTAACGATTCTTTTCAGAAATAAACGCACGTATATATAAGATATAGAAATATATATATATATATGTATACATCCAGGAATCCAGGTTTGTATAATGTACATATCACATATATATATATACATACTTAATATACAATACACAGTACATATGGACTATTGTAAAAAGAAATCAGCCATGTGCTTCTGAACTCCACGATCGCTGTTGGCTTTTCCTATGGGAGTTGAATCACAACTTCCAGAAAAGTTTCTGTAGGGCGACTCGGTCAATGCTGAAGCCTCTCCAGAGATCTAAAGATAGAGATTGGTTGAATGGGAATTGGTTTTGAGGGAAACCACCAAACATGATGGGGATATAATGGGATATAGTGGTTTACTCAACTAACAAATTTCTAAGGGAAAATAGTCTTCCAAGCCCCTATAGTCCATGTTAGTTGGGTCGATCGTAAAGTGGCACATCAACAATCCTAGTACAGTAATTAATTACAAAACGAATCGCTTTGCGAATGGTAGGTCGGTTTTCGATCATCATGGAGTGGAGGAATCCCAAAGAGAAGACACAACTGCCAGAGATTGCCGCGAGCTCTTTGATTCAAACATCTGCATATTTGCTTGTGAATATATCTGAAAAAATGCTGTTCAACTTAGCATGATTGCGGGTGACATCCGTTCGGGATTGGAGATGCGAACTAAATTTCATGAGAGACGGGCTGCGAAGAAAAAAAGGCCGTGCATTGCATTGTTCAAAGAGCCTCAAAATGTCTGTCAAGAAACCGGTGGCTGGCTGGAGAGTTGACTATAAATAGACATATTCATGGGAAAATCATCTATACAAATTAAAAAGAAAAAATAGCAAACCACGTTGAATTGCCGGAGGCGTACCTGTGATCCTCGTTAGTGGCCATGCCCTAAATATTGGATGAACATTGACATTGATACAGGGAGGGCCTGGGCCTGAGGGGTTCTTTCGGGCCACACAAATCATTGGGCATATTGTAACCATGATTGGATTGTTCATTTAGTTCAACATGCTTATCAATCCGAACAGTGATGCGAATTGATGCGAGTTGTATTTAAATTTGAACATTCCGGTGTATTCGTACGGGTTTGTTTCAATATATGACACCGCCAAGAGCCATGGTCGACCATCAGTTTATCATCAAACTGAACATGTTCGGGTTTGACAACCTAAGATGTTCTGGTTTCAAAAGCACCAAAAACTTCTTGGTTTATGCCCAGCTACCAACGGCATGTTCTATTGTTGGAGGGTTGACATTTATTTGAGAAACAGTCGAGACAAGGAATATTATTTGTCAATATCTATTACTCTTCTTTGTGTCTGTGTATATCAAAATTATTATAGACACGTCTCTAGCTGCAAATTAACATCATTTTTTTCTAAATGACGTTCACAGTGGCTCTTCGTCACTATATTTGATTTATGTGTTGCTTGTTGCGCGAACTCAGTGTTTTCTAGCGTTACCAGGGCGGCGTCTTTGCTCGTCAGTTCTTGATGGATCTGGATTGTGTTTGGTTAAACCCCCACCCACAGGATGGGGCCCCCAAGATAGCTAAGTCGCCTGATAAGTGGCTTACTATGGCTTATAGATGTTTATGGTAGATATTACAATATGGTAGATATGATATAACTATAGTTAATGGTGTTTATAAACTAATTTTATACTAATGTTTAACTTGGGGCCACCATCCTGCATGTTGGTTTCTTTAAAATCCCAATCGGTTCAAACCCCATTTCTGTTGCTTCACATCCGATGCGCTGGTAAGACCCTGTTTGTGCCATCATTTGCACAAGCAGAAACTATGAGTTGTACTGGTTCTGTTATTGATGATTTAAAACTTTGTCTTTGTTGGTTTAATGTCCATTGATTGTTGCTTAAATAAAATTGTTTTGCTTCAATTCATTCTTGCAATGTATAGCTGATGAGATAATTACTGTAAGTATCTTGAAAAGTGGCTTATTGACCATTAAATTAAGTATATTTATTGTAGTACCATGATATCCCAGTATAATATGTTAAATCTATATATATATATATACATATAAATATAGTTTTGGTTAAGCACCATTGTAACACATTGTTTTATTGTAATACCATTACCATATTTATTTCAAATTTGCAATACCATTGTAATACTAGCTAATTCGATATATCATGATATATCATTATATATCCCATGAATCAACTATAGTTATTGTAAAGAACAAAACAAACTTAGCTATCTTGGGACCACATTGTATTCTAATACCATAGTAATCATTAAATCCCATGAAATCCCATTAAACGACTGGTTCAATCACAAAGTTTCCCATTTCTTTTGACGATTCTTCTGAATCCAACCACCCTTTATCCCTATATTTCACAGGGTAAAACTACCATTTCCCTCATGATTTCATGGGTTAAACCACCATTTTGCCTATGTTTTCACGGGTAAAACTACCATGTTCCCATCCTGTTTTCATGGCTTTTGCATCCCCACGATCCCCACAACGGCACCGTTTTAAAGAGAGGCCGTGGGCACCTTACCTGCGACCTTGGCGGCGCTGGCGGTGCACAGCGCCGAGCGCAACGAGAGTGGCGTGTTGGATCCAGGCGGGACAACATTCACAGTGTATGATACCTTAATTAGCTGTTAGAATATCCTATTGGGATATCACATTTGGGGAATCTATAGGGAATATATATATATATATACACATATATGTATATACATATATATATATATATACGTGGATATACCCCAGATAGCTGTATACATTGTGTATAATGGTGATTTACCTTTTCAAAAATGGTGATTGATCATATTATCCCAGAGAGTTGATTCACAGTGTATACCTAGGTTTGTCTTTTTGGGTGATTGTTTATTTTCCCAATGGATTTTTTTGCACCATTTGGGGAATCTATAGGGAATGTATATATATATATCTATATATATATATGGATATATATGGATATATCCCAGATAGTAGACACTAGCAGTAAATACTAAAATAACGTTCTTATATATATTAGCAACACATATATATAATAATATAACATTGTAATAAATACTAATACATAGTACTCAGATGATATTCACAGTAATGATTATATACATATATGTGTGGGTAAATTATAACGGCCTCACTGCGACCGAACCTTGGAATCATGGTTATTTTTTGGGAAATCATCCCTTTTCTTGGCCGCAAGATTCAGGTTAGTGACATATCATAATTTACCCATATATATATATATATATTTATATACATTGCCATCGACATAATGGGATATAACCCACATCGGAATTAGTGACATAGGATCTATGACATGTATATCTCATATAACACTATTATATATGACATGGAACATGTTGTTATAATATTTGGGACAGTGATAATCCATCAATTGTATAACAACATTAGTTATTAACCACTATTTACAGCATTTTCCCATTATGTAATAATTGACATGCATAATGATTATTGATATCAATAATTAGGGATTATGTTGTTATGATATTAATATATATATATATAATGTTGTTATTAGAGATAATGTTGGATAATTGACGGGGTACAATTCACATAGGATATTATGACAAAGGATTATGACATTTATGTCTCATATAGCAATATACATGACATGGAGAAAGTTGTTATACCAATCTGGTTGCACTGAATGGACTATTATGAATATTATGGTTTAAGAATGGCTGTTTTAGTAATGGTTTAACATAACTGTATCCCGTTATATTCCATTGTATCTCATTATATCCCATTAAATCCCTTTCAACCACCATTAAAATCGCATTAAATCCCTGTTATATCGCCATTTTCCCTTTTTTTCACCTTGAAAACGCTGGTGTCCAGGAGAAATCTACTACACATCTCCGGTCCCGGTGCCCAATTTTACCAAGTGCGCAAGCGTGGGGGATGCACGGTGTGATAGCTTCATGGTGTTGATTTTCAGCCCTCAATAACCGTAGTTGCAGAAATTTTAATCCCATTTACAACTGTTGACGGCCAGAAGTGTAGAAGAGTACTATCCCACCAAAATGTCATTTTTTGCTCAAGAAAATTAGTGGTAGTACCAGGACGTTTTTTGTTGACTCACTAGTGACTCTGCAAAGCCCAGAAATGGTGCCATTTTTTTGTTTGTAATATTTACCAAGATTTCCCACTGGGATGTATTTACCAGAGTAACTCGGTGATAAATATATCCCAATATTTTCCAATGGTATAGTTACTCAATCTACATATCCACTGGGATATATTTCTGTGGTAAATGTTGGTCTTCCACCATGGAGCCAAGTAGCATTGGCATAGTTCCGCCAGCAAGATGCCTCCCTTTGTTTCTCTCGTGGAAAAAAACACATGTATCCAGAAAAACCTTGCATATGGTAAACTGTAAGAAAAATGTGGATGAAGGTTTTGAACATGTTTGAAATGATTTTTTCGATGTTGCAGTTTTCAAATGTTTTCAAGACGGTTTTCCATTGCGAAACGCGATAGTTGAGTTTGGCAATTCAGGTTTTCTTTATGTTCTTTCCCTTTTCGTCCAATTTCAATATTCCAGCATGAGCATCAAAACTATCACAAATTCATCCACAAGAGGAGTGAATCACCCATGTTAGCTGGGACTCGAAAGTCCGAGAAAAGTGCATTGGCATTCAATGAACTCCCATCATGGTGGCTCCTCCCACTTAGTAAGTGGGTTAGTTCACCCCAGTTATAAATGGGATAAGTAGGGCCGATCCATTTATTTATAACTAGGGTGAACTAACTCACTTACGAGCCGTGGGATGAAACACCAAAATTGAATCACATGAATTCCTCATTAATTATATCAGTACTATATCA